AAACTCTCAGTTATTTTTGTCTTCATTGGAATCCCTGCAAATAAAGGAGAGGATTATAGTACAAAAAAAAATTAATATCGTACTTTGATATTTTATAATTTTAATGAATATTTTTATAATTTTTGTGAATTATTTATAATAAAAAATTTAATAATTGTTGTTAGTATTTTTTACTTTATTTGTGGTAATTGTTTTATTACTTTTGTGATCGATCCTAAAATATTAGGATTAATATAAATTACGAAGTATCACAAAAATGGTAAAAATAATTACCATAAAAGTGATAAAAATAATTATAAAAATTGTAAAAATATTCATAAAAATTGTAAATAATGGATTGATTTGAGTCTATCAATTCATTTTCTTTGTTAGGGTTTTTTTTTTGATTTGAATCTAATGATTTATTTGAAGTTTTACAACTCAAAGTTAGTCAAATCAGAGTTATTATGTTTTATAGTATGTTAAGGATAACTCATGATAGAAAATACGGAACAATGCGAATGATTTTAAAAGAAATTGTTGGTAACTGTCGAATAAGTTTATTAAAATATATCTTATTTTATATTATAAATTTCATTATTCTTTAGAGTAGGAATATATTGTTTGTTGAGCTACTCATGTAAACAACTTAATTGTTTTTTGGAAGTCATGAATAGTTACTTTTTATATTATCTAGGGGATGATTTTTGACACTATATATTAAAATAATGAAAAAGCACTTCAATGGATGAGAGTTTTGTCGCTACAAAGTTTGGAGAGGATTACGTTTTTGCAACTTTACTCTCGTATATAGAGAGATTATTTTTGTAACTCAAATACTTGAAACTAAGGTCATAATGAAGTAATCTATTCGATGCGCTAAACTCACCCTTACAATACATTAAAACAATACTATCTCAAAAACAATATGATTAATTGAGATGAATGATAAATAAGTTGACATAGTATCAAACACAAATAATTTAATTATTATAAAATAAATTTATTTATTTATTTGGTATTGAAAGATTAAAATAACTATTTTTTTTTTCAAAACTTTGATCTAATCTTCTATGTAGGGGTGTTAATCGAGACGAGCTACTCGGGTTTGGCTCAACTCAGATTAAACTCAATTTGAGCTCGATTCATGTTCTAAACGAACTGAATTTGAATAATTTTTTAGATTTATTTTTAAAAAAAGAGTCTAAAATACTAGACTCAAATTAACAAAGTTTGGCTCGTTTATGTGTAAAATAGTCGTGTTATTCGGGTTCAACTTGGGTTTGACCCTAACTTGAGTTCAATTCGAGTTTTAAACAAGTCGAGCTTAAACAATATTTTAGGAAAATGAACTCGATAGACTCGAGTTCAAGCTCGTAAAACTCGGTTCGATTAACATTCCTAATTTATGTGAAGTATATTTTTAATTTATGATGATTTATGTGTGGTGAATTGGGTTGAGAAACAAAGAGATCTTAGTAATGTATTTTCTAGTTTATGAGTTATACAAACATAGATGTTCAAAAAAAAAAAAGAGTTATACAAACGTAGAACAAAATACAAAACAAACAAAAAAAAGATGAAAAACTCGAGTATGATACAAACAAGAAATTAATGACAAGTTCTGAATATAGCACAATATTACTTGATTGACACTCTGAATTTATTTTTAATTTGGTCAATGGTAGTTACGACTGCTAATCGAGCCAAGCTACTTAAGTTCGGCTCAGGTTTTATTTATTTTGAGCTCGGTTTAAACTTTATTTGTTTTTTAAACAAGTCAAGTTTAAACAATTTTTTAAGGCATATTTAAAAAAATAAGTATACAAAATTCGGCTCAAACTCGCAAAACTCAACTCATTTATTTGTAAATTAGTCAAACTATTTTGACTCGACTTGTTTTGGACTTGAACAAATTTCAAAAAACGAGCTCGACAAATTCGACTAAAGTTAACAAATCTCGGCTTGATTATTGGTGGTCTATTCTATTCCACATCCACGGTAGTTAAATATTCGAACTTCTAGCACAATTTACTTATCCAAATAAAATTCGACCCTTAAGTCAAGTTGACCACTTAAAATTGTGGGCTATAGAAGGTTACTCATGTCTTTATCATGCATGCATGGCCATTACTGATGTTGATTTTGTAACCAAATTGGACAAAGATTGGTTCACTTAATGCTTCTAGATACATGTAGGTTAGATATTTTAGTATAATTTTTTGGGGGGTAAAATATATATATTATAGAGAGTTAGTGTGAAAAAAAATAATATAAGAAGAATAAAACAGAAGAATAACAAAGCATGGGAGCCTTAGCTGTAAGATTCATTTAAAAAGTGAATTGTTTAAAAAAATAAATAAAGAATTGTTGTAACTAAGCTAACAACCAAGCTAAATATTATACAAATATTGATTAAAAATTTTGGTAGTTGGCTAGACATTGTTTTTTTTTCAATGCTCAATGGTGTCTCGGTCAATTTATGCGTACTTTGACTAATTTTTTCTTTGATCCAGTCAAAGACAAACCATCCACACTAAAATTAAAAAAATTCATAAGAGATAAATCCCTCATAACCTAATCTAAGGAAATGTTAAAATTTAAACCCAAAATATTAAAAAATATAATTCGTTCTTATTACCATTTGAGATTCCTCGGAGTTTTGACTAGGCATAGTTAAAGAACTCTTTGTGTGCTCTAAATACTAAAAGTCATATGTAAGAAACATATTGATGTCTTTACATATAAGCTATATGTTAATGGATCATTTGGAGATATCATGGAGGAACAATCAAAGAGCTCCTATCAACAATGCTATCTCCCCAAAATAATCCAATTTAACCCATCTTCTATTAGGAGTGTAAATTGAGTCGTATTGTATGCCTTATTATATTTAAGATGATTCATTTTACATTCATGTCATACTTTGTGTTCTATTTTTTTAACTAATGAATTCAACACCATAGGTCATGAATTCGAATTCTACAGTCATGCCAATGCCATAATTATCAACTGACTTTTACGTGTTTCGTCTAAAATTTAATCTGCATATGACAAAAAGTGTTCAAGTATACGAATAATTAAGGAAGAAACTAAAATGCCATACCAAAAAAAAATTCAATGTGAAAAGTCAAATTTGCACCTTGCAAAAGATAAGTTACGACTAGATATAATCCATGAAAATTATGAAATATTTTGATCGATCATAAATAATCTCAATTGATTACAATTTCACCTTTTAAAAGGTATAATTTAACTTTTAAAATGTATAATTTAACATTTAAAAGTTGTTTATGATCAAAATATTTTATTATCGATCATAGCTCTTTGAGTTATATACCTCAAACCTTTAAAAAACTAGCAATTGCACTTGCACTTGCATACAAATGTTTTACGTGAATCAATTAGAGTTATAATTAAGTTAGGATACTTGGATAGATGATTCAATCAAAATTTGATTACCGAATAGATCATTTCTTTGAGGAAAATAAAAATAAATTACCAGCAAAAAATCAGATTATGGAATATCAAAAATCATTACATTATTTGACTTACACATAACTCTTCTATTCACCGCACTAAACTTCTAAATAGTAATTCATATATTCATCCCACTTTAATATTTATTCTTAGAATGTGTATGATCTAACTTTTCGTGTACAAGCCGTAGAGAAATTTGTTTTAAATTACTAAAAAAGTGATGTACGTAAAGTCTTTTAAGAATACGAAAGGTTATGTAATTAATTGGGGAAGATTTAAGAAAAATTGATCAAAGTAATTTATTATTTTATTAAAGTTATTATGATCAATTAAATTTGTTTTATTAACATTTTATAATAATATAGATATAGATTATATCATAATCTTATAACTTCTAATAGGATAAATCATTTGATACCCTACATAACCCATGTCTTTTTTGTTGGTGAGATACTATTACGAAGGGAGATGACCAACTTCGAACTCACTATCAATCGTCTTATTTCACACCCTTTTTTTTTTTTTAGTTTAACGGTCGGAGATGTTTGAATTAATTTATGTACATTTTAATTAATTATTTTTTTAATTTAGTTAAAAATAAGTCATTCATGTTAAAAATAAAATATTCATGAGAAATAAATTTTCGTTATCTGACTCTAAAAAATTACAAAAATTGAAATTGGGGAGGTTTGAATTTGTTACTCCTCCTTATCCCACACTCGGTTACTGCTTACTAATCTCCCTACATCTATTATACACACAGGGACTGTTTGTTTTGAATATTAGATTTGGGTGGTATTAGAAATTATTTCCATTTCACTCTTATCCAATAGTATATTATATTCGGTCTTAAATTATAATCTCATTATTCCCCTTGTTTGTTTGTCACAAATATTATCTGTATATTATCTACTTAAAAAAATCAATAATTGTAATTATGGGTGATAAAAAGATAATTATAATTTTGTAACCTTAAAAAAATAATTGTACATGAAGGTATTTGTGTTATTTTAGTCTCTTATACCGTCCTTTTATTTATACCGGAAAGATAATACCACCTAATAGATGGTATTCAATAGCACCGTATACAAGACATTTAAGTCACTGTTCATGCCGAGACGATATTAAGATTTCAAAAATAATATTAATAATAAAATATTAAACAACAAGGCATAAGATAAACCCACGTATTATTTTCCTAAAACTACCCATTTGTACCGCTCTAATACTTCAAACAAACAGTCCCACACTTTTACATACTCAACATATATCTTGTGTCCATACGTGGGGTCTATATATAAATTCTGTGAGCCAGTCTCTCTTTCACCCACCAACTTTCTCTTGGTCACCCCCCTCACTTGGGTGTGTCGTGTCTTCTTTTTCACTTGCAGACCTCTCTGTTTCACCATAGCTTCTTGTTCTAATCACCCATTTGTCTCTCTATATCATATATGCTTGCTGTTCTTTGGAGCCACTTCTATATACTTACTATCAACAACACTAGCTTGATTCTCTCTCTCTCTCTATCTCTACCACCAACAATGCGTCTTCTTCTCTTGTTCCTTCTCTTCCCGCCATTGATATTCTCTCTGAACCAGGAAGTTCTCTACCTTCAGCGAGTCAAGCTTGGCTTTGACGACCCAGATGGAGTTTTCTCCAACTGGAACGACCGTGACAAAAACCCTTGTAACTGGTACGGAGTCACCTGCGACTCAGTGGCTAACTCGGTTAACTCACTGGACCTCTCCAACTCCAATATAGCTGGACCGTTCCCTTTTCTACTCTGTCGCCTTCAAAATCTCAGCTTTGTCTCTCTCTACAACAACTCAGTCAACTCAACTTTCGCCGGCGATTTCTCCGAATGTCGGAATCTGGAGCATTTAGACCTAGCTCAGAACTTGCTCACCGGTACACTGCCAGATACTTTAGCAGACCTCCCCAATCTCAAATACCTCGATTTGACCGGAAATAATTTCTCGGGCGACATTCCTGCCAGCTTCGGAAAGTTTCAAAAGCTCGAAGTGCTTTCACTGGTTGAAAACTTACTCGGCGGTGTGATTCCGGCAGTTCTCGGCAACATTTCGACTCTGAAACAGCTGAATCTGTCCTACAATTCGTTTTTAAAGGGTCGGATCCCGCCGGAGCTCGGAAACCTCACGAACCTCGAGGTCCTCTGGCTCACCGACTGTAACCTGTTTGGTGAAATTCCTGACTCGCTGGGTCAACTCAAACGAGTCAAAGATTTGGATATAGCTGTAAACAGTCTAAACGGTCCCATTCCGAGCTCACTCACTGAGTTGACCAGCGTTGTTCAAATAGAGCTGTACAACAACTCGTTGACCGGCGTCTTACCAGCAAGAGGGTGGTCAAACATGACGGCATTGCGATTACTGGACGCTTCGATGAACGAGTTGACTGGTACGATTCCCGACGAGCTGTGTTCGTTGCCACTCGAATCGCTCAACCTCTACGAAAACCAGTTCGAAGGTAACTTACCGGAAAGCATATCAAATTCCCCGAACTTATACGAATTACGGCTGTTTCAGAACCGTTTAACCGGAGATTTACCCAAAGATCTCGGCAAAAATTCACCTTTAAAGTGGGTTGATGTGTCCAGCAATCAGTTTTCCGGCGAAATTCCGAAAAGTCTATGCGAGAAAGGCCAATTAGAAGAGATTCTAATGATATATAACTCATTTTCCGGTGAAATTCCGGTGAGTTTGAGTGAGTGCACAAGCTTGACAAGGGTAAGGTTGGGCTATAATTCTTTTTCCGGCGACATTCCGGTGGGACTTTGGGGGCTTCCGCAGGTGAGCCTGCTGGAGCTTATCGACAATTCATTTTCCGGCGAAATCGCGAAAACTATAGCCGGAGCAACGAATTTATCGGCTTTGATTATATCAAAAAACAATTTTTCTGGTTCTATACCGGAAGAGGTTGGATATTTGGAAAACTTGGTGGAGTTTTCAGGTGGGGATAATAAGTTTTCTGGGTCTTTACCGGCGAGTATTGTGAATCTTGGACAATTGGGAAGGCTTGATCTTCATGACAACGGACTTTCTGGGGACTTTCCAAGTGGAATTCATTCTTGGAAGAAGCTAAATGAGCTCAATTTGGCTGATAATAAACTTTCTGGGAATATCCCAAGTGAAATCGGAAGCTTATCTGTGTTGAATTATCTTGATCTATCAGGAAATCAATTTTCGGGGGAAATCCCAATAGGGTTACAGAATTTGAAGCTAAATCAGCTCAATTTTTCGAATAATCGACTTTTTGGGGAGATTCCACCATTGTATGCTAAGGAAATGTACAGAACTAGCTTTCTGGGGAATCCTGGATTGTGTGGAGATATAAATGGTCTGTGTGATGGTAGAAGTGAAGCTAGGAGCTTGGGTTATGCTTGGTTAATGAGGTCAATCTTTCTTCTTGCTGGGGTAGTGTTCATTGTAGGTGTGGGATGGTTTTACAGGAAGTATAGGAATTTCAAGAATGCGAAAAGGGCTATTGATAAGTCGAAGTGGACATTGATGTCGTTTCATAAACTGGGTTTTAGTGAATATGAGATATTGAATGCTCTTGATGAAGATAATTTGATTGGAAGTGGGTCTTCTGGGAAGGTTTACAAGGTTGTTTTAAGCAATGGTGAGGCTGTTGCGGTGAAAAAGCTTTGGGGAGGTTCTAAATTAGCCGATGAGAGTAGTGATGTTGAGAAGGGTCAGTTTCAAAACGATGGTTTTGAAGCAGAGGTTGACACATTGGGAAAGATTAGGCATAAGAACATTGTTAAGCTATGGTGTTGTTGCACTACTAGGGATTGCAAGCTTTTGGTATATGAGTACATGCCTAATGGTAGTTTGGGTGATTTGCTTCACAGTAGCAAAAGTGGATTGTTGGATTGGCCGATAAGGTATAGGATAGCTTTGGATGCTGCTGAGGGGCTCTCGTATTTGCATCACGATTGTGCTCCTCCGATTGTGCATCGTGATGTGAAATCGAATAACATTCTCTTAGATGGAGATTTTGGAGCCCGGGTGGCGGATTTTGGAGTGGCAAAAGTGGTGGATAAAATTGGAAAGGGAACCAAATCCATGTCTGTCATTGCAGGGTCTTGTGGCTACATTGCACCAGGTTTGTGAGATTGTCATTCCTGATTAGCCCTTTAAATTCGATACTTGAAATTCAATACTGCCTGACTAATTGTGCTTGTACTGTATTCATTTATGCTTCATAATAGTTTAAAAGTTGGATTTCTGTGGTAGTTATTGTTAGTTAATGATCTTTACTTAGTAGTTCCACTGTTCTTTCTCCAAATTGGATTTTAGCTGTAAAGTTTGAATCTTTACACTGTTCCCCATTAACCCCCCTTTTAAACTTGTTTAGTTAGACATCAATTTTTGAGTTGAATGTTTGCTAGTCTGCAGTACAATCCATTGTTTACATGGGTTTTCGTCGTTAGTATAATCTTGTTGAACGATCGTGACTAGAAAATCCAACAAGATTGGACTAATGACCAACAGATTTAGTACAGTCTCTCTTTCACCCACCAGTTTTTGAATTGAATGTAATCACTGTAATAATGACCAATGGATTAGTACAATCTTGTTGGATTTTCTAGTGATGCCATTTCTTTTCCTAAGCTTTCGTTTATTTTTTTTTTTGCTGGTCATAATTTGAAATAATTTCATGTGCACTGCAGAATATGCTTNTGGCAACTCTTAGAGATTGTCCTGTTCTATGAAATATGGAAAGTGTACTACAATGGGAATCTCTCAAAATCCTGTCCAGCTTAAAATTCTGTATGGGATTTTAGGGTTCGAATACGGTACTGTACCTCTCTTGTGTGTCTAATAAAAATGTGTCACGTATAAACAATTTTTATTTATTATTTCATTATAATTGATCAATGGTTACAAATAATAAATCGATCCGAAATCAATGATTGCAAATCATTAAAGGAGATGGGATTGAGTTTTTTTTGGATATAATAACTTTATCTAGCTTTTTACCACACTTATTCGCCTAAAAGACTTAGCACTACATATATGTAATGTGTTAAAGACGTTATTTGGAATGACGTTTTCAATCATGAAGGCGTCATTCCAAGTAACGTCTTCTAAAAAGTGACTGATTTTGATAAATAAGTTTTTTGAAGAGAATAAGTCTAACTTTATCCGAGATTATTGGGGGTGGTTTTGGCCAACCTGTCTTCCATATGAGTATGCAGAAGATAGCTATATATGCAAATTTATGAGGATGTATGTTTATGGTTTGGCCTTTGCATGGACCCTCTCATTTAAGTTCTAGGTCCCCCTTTGCCTCTGCTGCTTAAGAGTGCTATTACTCTGTGTTGTGGTTGAACTCATTACCTCACAGTTATGTAGGAGGTGTGAGCTCTGGCAAACTTGACTAAACACGACTATTTACAGGAGACTTGAAACAAGAATTTGAATTTTTGACATAATTACTTAAATTAAGTAGATTCATCATGTTTGGATTAATGTATATATACACACACACACTATAGTCACTGTGCAACTGAAATGGCCTTGTTTGGCAGAAAAAAAAACAAATGGAAGTAACTTAGTGTAAAACTTATTTTTGGGTAATCTATATAACAAGAGAGCAAACTATTTGATTTTTATCTCGATATATATATATTTTTTTATCTATTTCTATCACATCATTCATTTATTTCACAAGTTGAATAATTTAATTTTTGATTAGTTTGTGGCTCAATACAATTTTTATTTTAAATATTGTTCATATACGAAAGTATGAACATGTCAATATTTTTTTTAGGTCATCTACTTTGAGAAAATTGTCGATTTTTGTTATAAAAAATAATTGATAAAAATTAATTGTAAATTATGTAATTGAAGAAACAGAAAGAAAAGAAATTCCTATTTAATATAATATGATCGATTTTTTGAATGCTTGAATTTTAAATTTCACTGTGTCTTAACGCATGTATTATAGCTAGTGCATTTATAATAGATGATAACACACTAACCGATGGTAGTTCAATTGGTAATCATAACGAGTTGTAAATATAGACATTTTAAGTTCGAATTTTAGCAACCTCTATAAGCCAAACTATGAATAATCTAGTCTTGACGTGGATGACTTACCTTTGACTAGATCAGATAAGAGATTAGTTCATATGAACATAAATTAATTTAGACACCCCTCACCATTTAACCCAAAAACACAAAAAAAAAAAAAAAAACCAGTGAAGAGAAACCTGGAAGAGGACCAACTTCCAAAGAGGTGTTCTTTTTCTTTTTCATTTGAATTGGAAATGTGTTTCACCATTGGGAAGCTCAGCCCAATGGAAATGATTCAAATGTGGGCCCAAAGACAGGCCAGCTTTGGTAGTGCGTTGTTTTCTCTGTTGGCTCATGTAGAAAATGTGGGTGGGCCGGCCTTAATGATACAGAGTTTAAACCCAACTCGAATGCAGGCCAGATTAATCAATCAAAAAAGGCCCAACAAAAAAAAAACAAAAAACATAAATAGAGTTTTTTTTTACAAAACCTCGAGAGATGTCAATTATCTTCTTCATGAACTTTGAGCCTTCGTCATGTAACCTTAAACCTTAAAGTGTGAGAGACAGAGAAGTTTTAAGTTTAAATTGTGATAATTTTTTGGGGTTAAGTCATAAGAGAGTTATCCCTCATAAATTTTAAATTTCGACATGAATGATCTATTTTTAACCAGACCAAGGAGGGAATTAATTGAGGTATGCATAAGTTGATCCAGACATTTCTGATCATTGAACCAAAAAAAAAAATCCATCACCACAGGCATTCGACCAAGGCTTAGATAAAAATAAAAATTTAAAATTAGAACCATAGTATATTTTTACTAACATTGATGTATGATTATGTGTTTTTTAATCTTTTATCTTAAATAATACAAGTCCCTACAATGGGGTGCTTTAACTTTCTTCATGCCTTAAAATGAAAGGTCCCAGGCTAAAACCTCATCGTAATGTTCAAGGTTGGTAAGTTTTTACACGGCCTGTCAACTTGATACAAACTACAAATTTATCGAGCATAGAAGTATCATGACCGTACTTATATCCTATTTTTTGGGATTTTGTTATATCACTGTATTTATATCGCATCATATTTATAAGCCCATGGACCTAATTGTCCATCATTAATCAACTTACGAATCCTATCTTCACTAATATGACCTAATCTGAGGTGCCACATAAAATTAGAATTCTGATCATCTCTATGCCTTTTATGAGTGATGACATTCATATCAATATGTTCAATATTATTTAAATTGTCATTCATATTTAAGAAATAAAGACCATATAAAAATATGTCAGAACCAATCAAATTAAAATTTAAAGTAAAAGAACAAATGTTTTTTTTCTCAAAAATGAATCTATAACCATTCTTACACAATGATGAAATAGAAATAATGTTCCTAACTATATTAAGCATAAACAAACAATCCCTAAGCTCTAAAATAACTCCAGATGGTAATGATAAGTAACAAGTTCCCACAGCTAATGCAGCAGCGTTTGCTCCATTTCCCACTCGGAGGGACACTTCTCCTCTACTCACCCTTCTACTTTCCTTCAGTTCCTGCAATGAATTGCATATGTGAGAACTAGAACCAGTATCTAATACCCAGTTTAAAGTAGAACTAATTGACAAATCAATTTCAATAAAGAGTATATCTGACATACCTTCCGAAGGTTTGTCCTTAATAGATGCAAGATTCTCTTGACAATTTCTCTTCCAATGCCCGTCTTTGCCACAGTGGAAACACTTTCCCTTGGCCATTTCTTTCTTTCCCTTCTTCACTCCGCATTTAGCTTTCAAATGGGCCTTCTTCCCCTTCCCTTTGGTCCTTTTGCCCTTCAGCTTGGTCCCAGAAGAAGAGGGCCAGTCAACAGCTAAGACAAATCCCTTGCTTTTCTTGAATGTCCCTTCAGCAGTAGTTAACATGTTAACGAGCTTAGGCAGAGTGGGCCTAATTTGTTAATGTTGGAATAAAGAACAAATTGCCTAAAAGAATCTTGGAGAGATTGCAAAACTATATCATTAGATAGATCTGCATCAAGGTTTACACCAAGCTTCTATAACCGCTCAATGTAATTGATCATCTTGAGCCCATGCTCATGTACAAATGATCCCTCAAACATGCGAGCCCAAAACAATTCCTTGACCACATCGTACCTAGCGATATGACTTTGTTCACCATACAACTCTTGTAGGTGAAGCATAATAGAGTATGAGCTATCCATTTCTTCATGTTGTCTCTGTAGCTCATTGGACATGGATGCTAGCATGTAATATTTACAAAGCGTATCATCCTCTTTTCATTTGGTCCGGGTCTTCTCTTCTTCCTTATAGACATTCTTTGGGAGAGGTCCCAGTAATGGACTATCAAGAACATATGCAATTTTTTCGGAAATGAGAACAATTTTCAAGTTCCGTTTCCAATCTAGGAAGTTAGGGCCAATCAAACGACTGCTGTCAATAATTATGGATGAGGGATTGTTGCTGACCATGGTGATCTAGAAAAATAAAACATCTATATTAACAATTTCACTTTAAACCATTAGATTGAGTCTTTAAATCATAAAGGTACCACCCACTATTTCTCAAATCCATACTCCCTCCTATAGAATTAGGGAATTTTTATTCATAGTGGGGATTGGGTCCCATCTTAAATTAATATAACCTCATATAATACAATTTGGTTATACTAATCTTTGATGAGTAGGTAACTCTTACCTAATGCATCGTATGTAAATTCCAATCATCCTTTGGTCTCTAGCATAAATGAACCTCACATAATAGTATCTTGGCTCATCTACCCTAGTTAAGTCACACCCACCATTTGTACAAGTGTAGGAACTTATGACCAATAAGCCCCTCACATAATAGCATCTTGGAACTTACTGGTATCCTACCTCATCTATACTAATAAGAAAAAACCTAATTTGAATCTTTTTTCACTTTAAAATTTAATTCAATTTTAATTCATTTGGGAAAGCACGAGGTTGGCTCANTGTTCACCATACAACTCTTGTAGGTGAAGCATAATAGAGTATGAGCTATCCATTTCTTCATGTTGTCTCTGTAGCTCATTGGACATGGATGCTAGCATG